CGCATTTTTACCCACACACAAGCATTCCATGTCGCCTTCGAACTTCTTGAAGACTTTAAAGCATACCTCCAATTCGCCAAATTACCATGTTTTGTGTGAGAGTATTCCTCCGACTCGCTCAATATATTTTGACTGCTGATTCATACAAAGATTTACTTTCTTTATTACATTCAAGTTGACTGCACGCTTTCAACCTTTCGCTTTTCCTTGCCTTTGCCATTTCCTTAAATTTTTTCCCGCTTTATTCTTTTTATGCCTTTTTATTATCCACACACGCGATTATCCTTTCTTTTATTGCCAGCTTTTAGCATTATTTTTAATGTCTGGCAGCTTGTTGGTGCCGTGTCCTTACTGTCTGTGTGCGTGTTGACTTCCCGTGAAAGCTGCTTTTTCCGCAGAATCGTTACACCCTCGTACACCCACAGACTACCCACTTCTTCTTATGCGCAACAATTATCCTCCATTGAGTCCAAGTGAGCCTTGGCCTCACGCTCATTCGCCCCACAGCTATGGCCTGCTGTACTCCGAACGCTTCATTGTGAATTCCGACGAAACAGCAGTTCGTGTAATTTCATCAAATTCAACGATTTCCTGCAGACAAAATGTCATTTTACAAAATTTTATAAAATTGCGACAAAAAGAAAGTCATAAAAGTTTTGCTCATCCGACTGTTGTCGTCAGCTGCATTGTAGTGTCTCAATTTCTTTGCGGCTTTTTAACAATGTTGGTGTGTTGCTTGCCTGTTGACGAGCTTTTTGATGTCTTCACTTAAATTACTTTCCCGCTTTAAAATTTTACGCACTTCGCATGCTCATGTGTGCGAGCAAATTATTTTTATTACGGTTTCGGGTAGAAATGTAATTAGGTTTTTTACGATTGCTTGAGGTTTTTAGCAAAAGAAAAGCTGAAAGAGCTTTAGCGGTTTAAGATACTTAGAGTTTGCATGTTTGATTTTTGAAGAGATTAGCCGAAAATCGGCTTTAAGACATTCATTTCAGGTAGTCGGTGTTTCCTGTAATCCATAATCACCGAAAATATATGTCTGAATACGAAATGCACGCGAAAGAGGATCCACTCGGACTTGCGCATATAGTCACACCATAATTTTGAGGAATGCGGCAGAGTTAATCCTCCTTGGCCGTTTGGAAACATGGTTCCATTCCGGCTACCTAAACGGAACTATCGCATGAACGAAACCTAGCTCCACTCAGATCCTTCCTATTATTTCGCATTTCCAAATATAAAAAACATCACTCACACAATCGTTTAACAGCTGGCATTCACACCAATTGCGTGCCATCCCCACGTATATCCACACATACGGGTACCTTTGTGTTGTATTTTTTTGTGGCTCCATCAAAAAAACGTTCACTCACGCTCACAACCACAATTCATTTGTCGCGTCTGCTGCGTGTGCACACTTGGACGCAGCTGACTTGCTGACTGGGTGATAGTGTAACGATATGCTATATGCTCCTACAAGTTGACCATTTGTCTGTTTTGACGGCGCCGATTTTGGCTGTGCGCCAACCAGCTGAACGAAGAGAAATGGAAAATAATAAAAAAAAAACCCTGTCGAGTTGTTGTAGCTTTCGCTTGTTTTCGTTGTTGGCACGTCGCGTACGAAAGTGCGCTTATTCGTGCTTATAACCGAGCGACAACTAGTCGTGCACACGCTAACGTGGTTCCGATCTAACTCAACCTCCTGACCCCAAAACATTCAGAGCCGCCGACGAACAGCATTCTGCCGCAGCAGCTCGCTTTGGCTCATCTTTACGCAAAGTTAGCGACAAACTTTAAGCGTCTGTCTGTCGATATCTTAGTCTCTGTTACAACATTTCGATGTTCCTGCCGCCCACGAGTTGCGGCAATGAGATTTGCGCAACAAAACTTTCATATTCTGTTTCATTGGTATAAATGCAGAATTGTCTGGTTGCCTGGTGGGTTGCTAGTTTAATAATCAATGGAATGCTTTTACCTCTCCGTATATTATATACTTGTTTCAGCTCTAAAGTTCCACCTTATTAAATGCGCCAAACTACCTTAATTGTGCAGTTTTTCTATTTCTTTTCGATGATTTTTATTATTCTCCACTACAATTGCTTTTCTCTCATTTTCATGTCTTTCGTGCAGCTTAAAAATTTAATTCTCGAATTTTACACTATCTGCTACACGTGCCTGCTTGATTACTTATTTAACTTGTAGGGTGCTTACGATTTCCATTAGTACATTAACATTAAAAATTTAAGCTATGCTTTAATGGCACGGTGTAGTTGGCGATTGCGAATTGGTCCTTCTTGTTACATTGGTATTTTTGTGACATTTCAGGTTCTGACTAGATTTCATTTCGATTGGTAAGATTGGCAGTAAGATAGCTGAGAGTGATACTTAACAGATGAATGAACAAGAGAACCTTACTTACACTTCCACTTTAAAATCTTTATATCAAAGTGTCATAAAAAGGTAAGGACTCAGGAGTATAAGGCCAAGTTTTGGCATTTATTGTCCGAATCTCTACTAACTACATTTGACTAGAGAATCGTGTGCGGATTATCGATAACATCTCGAAAGTGGCGAACGGTCTAACGTGTTAGACTTTACAGTCTTATTTCGAATGAAAGTTAACTTTAAAGTCCATTATTGGTCCCTTGGAAAAACTTAAAGCAAAATCAGTCCATTTCCATTCTAAAATCAACATTTCCATTATTATAGTTTTATAGAAGATTGCAACGTTCGCTTATACCTAGATTCTGTTGCGTCAGCTCACAACTCGTAGATTCGACTGCTGTGGGTATGGTTCATCATTCCTTTGTGTAACCATAACCACATTGCTCTTTACAAGTTCAACGATCTTTTTAACATTGACACCTTCTCGGTTACTGATTGTAAAACTTCACTTAAGGGGGATCCATTTCGAGATTACCAACTTTTTTACAGCAACACAGAAACTTTAAAGATAATGGAGAATATTTATTATCATTCGAAAGAAAATTCTGTGGCATTAATTTATTTTTTTTTGAATATTATCGCTTTCAAATGGTGGCCGCAGCTACGTCTCAGATGGTCCATCACTTAGTAAAATTGTCGATGACTCGTTCAATCATTTCGATTGGTAACTGGCGAATGACACTCGATGTTTTGCTCCAAGACCTGAATCGACTTTACAAATCCCCAAAAGGATATCAGACGCTCTTGGTGGCCAATCGACTACCTCAAAACATGCAATTATGTGCTCACCGAAGTGTTCTAAAGTAAAGAATAAATCTTTAAATTGATGCGATGTGTGGAAAGTTTGACTGTTTTGCTGAAACCAAATGTCGCCGGTATCACAAGCTTCTATTTCAGATAGTATCTCTAAAAATAAATAAGTTTTTGGTTTTTAAATTCAAAGAAGCACACTTGAACTTCCCAAACTCGAAACATCATAATCCACAAGGAACTTTGAGTTAGAGAGACTTCGAGGTAATTTGACTTCTATTGCTAATTCAAGAGTTGGCGTTATGCAAAACTTGGAGTTAAAGAAATTCGAGTTATGGAAGTTCAACTGTATGTATGATAAATGATGAGGGTGGCGAGCCGAATTGAAATTTGGCTGGTTCTCTGCCTGTGCAAGCGGTAACTTGGGCAAAACAGGGACATCTTGAAATTTCCTTGGCACCCAAGGATCTCTGGCACGCCCACAAAACGCCATCTAACGAAAAACTATAAAGTGCCTGAACCAAGCACTAATTTGAGATATATAACGCATGAGCACTGCATTTTAGTATAAATCATTGATCAGATTGAGGTCTCCTCTTCTTCTTCAGATAACGCTTAACTTCAAACAAATAGAAAATAAAGTTTCTGCAAGGTTTGCTTTTAATATCTGGTAGATTTTAAGTTTGACTCAGCTTTTCGTTATTGAAGGTGAGACCGCTCGATAAACTAAGGATTTATCTATTATTCTGCGTCGTTTTTCCAGCCTGACATTCAAACCATTCTCTCTCTGTACTCTCAGCATCATCTGACTTTTAAAGGGTGCTTCTGTTTCCACGTTTTCCAAAGTGTGGTGAGTTATAGGTGAAATCGTGAGCTAAGGTAGTCTTGTTGTTTCTGTAACTGTCACTCAAACTCAGGAACCAACTGTCATTACTTCGAACGATCGATGATCTCATATCGCGTTTCAGCACGCCCCATGTTACACAGTTATGCATATTTCAAATTACCACGAAATCGAATTGTCCAGAATTCAGCATTTAAATAAAACTCATATTCATAAAATCAAAAGCACACGACTGAAGCAGTGACGGCAGCGTCAACCACAAATGTCAACTGAATATTACTGCATTTTGACATTAGCTGTAACAATAATAAAAAATACCACAGCAACAATAACATTTAAATTTACGAATATAATAAATAACCACAAAAGCATTTCATTTTACTAAGACGAGTGTAAATGGAACGAAGATGCATGAGGACTTACATACAAACAAACCGCAATGCAATCACTTCAAACAGCGAGGACAGAGTGCAAGAAAGGCAGTAAGAGAACATTGCGTACATTCACCAGTGAAAATGAGAAGTTAAACATAAGAGTAAACAAGAATATCGCTCAGAAAAATGCTTAACACCAATGGTGAACAGAATGCCGCAATAACAGTGGGAGTACTGTAAAAACACAGTAAATAACAGCACAGCCTCCACGCTATAACAGCGCCAATCCACACTAAGTGCAGTCGTTGTGTGGCTAAATATAAAGAGGACAGCAAGAGAGAGCGCATCGAACTCAGTAGAGTACAACGCAATCGTTCTGATATTTTCTATGTTTATTCTTTCATTCTATTTTGAAATGCTTAACTTCAACTGCTCTTTGACTTTTTTGTAGTTCTTCGTTTATCAACTGAAAGCTGCTGCTGCGACATAACGCGAGCATTTGCTGTTGCTGGAGCCAGCCACTCAAGACAAAGAACACTTTGCGAAACATTCGCTTTCGTTAGTGCGCTCTTTGCCTGCAGCAAAACAACAAGTGCTTCACTTTTCATATTCGCGGTGCGCGTGTTACTTAGAATTTATTAGCACTAGCATACTCGTTGTTGTTGCTGTTGACTGCAATTTAGAATTTCTTATTGGGCCGATCAGTGAGTCAATGTAAGTCGCTTCGTTAAAAACATTCGTCGGTTGTCGTCTTCGGTTGCTCTTGTGTGTTTCGTGTGCGGTAGAAAAGAAAAAAAAATTGTTTTTTCGTGTGGTGATTATTTTTGTTGTTGCTGTTGCATTTGGTGGAATATGCAAGCGATTATTAAGTGTAGTGTTTCTGTTAATACACAAACGGGAGGTATGTAACGTGAGCAGCGTAATGTTATGAACATTACTAACGCTAACAGTGGAGCCAATATACATTAGCAGATGTCGTTGGATTAACATCTTGTGCTCTATGTTATATACCATACTGTGTACGCTGTTGTTATTGAATGTTGTGCGTCTATGGCTTTTCAAAGTTGTAATGATTTTCTTATTAGAAAAGCTTAACTGGAGAATCGGATTAATTTCTTTCAACGAATTGCCGAAATTAGGTGAAGAGAAATAAATATAATTAAAAAATAACTACATTATAATTATATACCCAAAACTATTTTCAAATGTTTAAGTACTGTAAAATTTTATGGAAATAATTTACAGAAAAATTGTTCCAAACATCGCCGTACCTTACGTTTTTGGTGCCAAAGTTTGCTGAAAATGAATCATATCCAACTTTAAGAGAGCTTTTAAGGTAAATAATTGAGCTTTTACAGAATTGTGGGTGTTTTGAGGTTAGGTCGCAAATCAGTGATTCAAAAGTCTATATATTTCTAACAATTGTCTGTGATTGTGAATCTTTAAAATTTTTTTTAAGTAACCTTATAAAAATGCTAATAATAGACTGTCGTATTTAGAAACAGAAATGTAGGTCTAGGGACCTTATTAAGGGAAAACGGTTGTGGTTGTTAGTAGGGTAAATTTTTTTCATATTATTCAAATTTAACTTCATCGCTAGAGTGGAACTGTGAATATAAATGCATTAAGGAGCGAATTTAAGTAAAAAAGCTCTGCTATCAATCTAAAAAGATCCAAGTTTCCAAAGCTTTTATTGCTACAGTTCATCTAGAGCAAAAATCTTTGCTATTAGTTTCACTGAGGCATTTGAGAGTTTCCTAATTTTTTAGAATAGTAACTTGTATGACTGCGAATTGAAATTCTCTTCAAGCATAAGCTTCAGCAATTACAGTCTTAGCATCTTTTTCTTTTCTAGGACAATGTGTTCAAATTCTTGTTTAATCTGTAGACATATAAGTATGAGGCTATTAAATACAAAATAAAAAAAAAACATGTGTCCAAAAGGCAATTCGCCATCATTTCCCACTTTATGAGTCACGTCAGGCAAAATACAAAACAAAAATACCACTAGAACTAATTAAAGCTGAACCGTTAAAGCTAATCCAGAGCTAAATTATATACTTATGCTTCTTATTTCCATACTTCATTGGAGAGCAGCTTTTCTCCCATATTGGTCGTCCTTGGAACGATTGGAACTCTGGACATTACAAGGTTTTTGGATGCTACTAGAGATTACTGAGGGTCTGGACCCAAGTGTCCACTAAAATAGACACGCTTAAGTATTATAATATATTATAGGTATCTGATAATTAGAATTTCTCTGTTTTGTATGTCGATTAGTGTAGTTACATAATTCGTCACTAGACTTACATTTAATGCATTCCTTTACATAACCTTCAAGTGCAATCCGCCATAAAGAGGAAGTGTAATTAAACTTTCAACGTCGCTACTTAAAATGCTAACTCGTAAGCCGACCAGGCACGATTCAAATGCGCAAATCGGCTGGCTTAGAATTAAAAATCGACAAGAATCGAAAGCAACCAATCAATTTCTGCATTTCATTGGCAGGCAATGTGCGATTTATGGCGAGCAGCATGAACACCGAGACTCAAACGCAGAGCGCAGCGCTTGTTTGTTGGTTTTGTTGTTATACATTTGTAAACGCACTCTTCGCGCCCCAACAATGCCGGCAGACAGTCCAACAGTCCACTCAAAGGCTGCTAGTGATGGGGCTGCTGCTGTTATGCTGACTTGACTACCGCTGTTGCGCGCTTCATTTCTGCTCTCTTCGGCTGCCTTGTTCGCACTCATTTAGCTGATGGATTACTACCAACGCGCCGATATGCTGCTCTTTATGTTTTACTTTTTTTTTGTTTTTGATTTTCCTGCTGCTATATTTTTTAGCACTCGCCGCATATCTGTTCGCCTGTGCTGAGTGTGTGCCGCTTTCGGGGGTTCCGCTGTTGCTGCTGCTATAGCTGGTGTTGCTCTTGCCGCCCAGCCGACCACACCACGCTATCGCACCACTCTTTGCTCTTTACCCGGTGTCGGCTCTGCTTTTGTTTATATCTCTGCGCTTGGCTCCTGCTTCGTCGACGATGAATTCGGTTTCTGCGTTGCTGGTGCTCTACTATGGTGCGGCGGCGAGTATGGACAACAGCAGCCAGTGAGCGATGACTGGTGAGCAGCGCGGTGCTGGTAGACAGCAACAGCATATAAGGCACACACACACATATATGCCGGCACTCAGCCGAGTCACTGTGTGTGGATTAGCTGATGGTATGCGCTGTTGTTGCTGGCAATGCTTGCTGTTGCTCTTGGTTCGTTGGTTGACTTTTGCTTGCTTTTGCTTTAATTTTCTGTTGTTTCTACTCATACTACTACAACAACGAACACACGACGACGACTACTGGTGCTGGTATTGCTGCTGCTGCTGAGTGCTTGGGTTGGCCTGACTGACTTGACTTGACTTGACTTGGCTATGGCGCTGGTGTTGGCTGGCTCGTCGTCTGGTCTGCTGTCGACGCAGATGGTCCGGTCTGCTCTGGACTCTGGTGTGGTCTGCTCTGCAGTTGCGTTCGCGTTTCGAAAATAGTTACAAGATGTTCATCGAAGTGAATAGAACGTCTGAACGGGTGTTGGACTAACTAACTAACCAGCTAGTCAGCGCCAAGCGAACAAACATTAAGCTGTTGAGCGCGCGTATACCGCCGCGCGTTGCCTTACAATTGAAGTGTAGTGAAGTGAAAAACTCTCGGCTGTTGCTTTTATTTTTCTTTTTTTTTCGGTGTTGTTTTTGTCGTTCATTCTTACTTTTACTATGCGGTTCTGTGTTGAACCAAGTGTCTGCGCCGCTGTGTAAGTGTATGCGTGCGTGTGTGTGGTGTGGTGTGTTGAGTGGGATCTGCATTTCAGAGTCACAGAGTCGTCTATACTGTGCTGTCTGCTGGCCACTCATTTCAGTTCGGCAGCAACATCCGCAGCAGCCGAACCAGCGAATTTCAAAGTCGCCTCTTCAATTCAACCCCCAACACAAACGCAGACGGTACGCTAATTTTGTGTGTTCGAAACTCCCCTAAGAACTAGTGCGCTCTAACATACTATTGGAAAACGAAAAATAATAAAATTATAAAAAAATTTAAAATAAAATTGATTTTATCAGAAAATAAAACAAAAAAAAAAATGCCAACAAAAATTACATGTGAAATGCTCGTAAAGAAAGCGCAAAAATAAAAGTGAAATGGAAAAGCACCAAAATTAGAATTCCTTTCTTCTAACATTGTGGCGCATAGTTGTGTGGAGGCAGTGTAGAAAAAAAAACACAAAACAAACCGAATAAGTAAAATAAAATAAAAAAAATTAAAAAAAAAAAAATGCAAATAGTATTACTTAAGTGAGTAAATATTTATGTATTTAAGTGTGTTCATCCGTATGTGCATGCAAATGGGCTTATATGACTAAATACATAGCGAATTTGCGATTTACTTAGCAAAAAATCGTGAAATGTGTGCGCCAGCGACGAGGCTGAATTGCATTAAAGTTCTTTAAAAAATAGTTTAAATTTTATGAATTAAAGAAAGCGGTTTGTTTCTATGGTTGAGCTGAAAGTGGCAGAAGAAAAAATGTCCAAAAAAATACAGATAATAAAAAATTGAATAAAGCAAACATAATTTCAAATTAATTAAAAACTTAAATTGAACAGTATTTTTAAAAATAAAGGAAACTTGAAAAAAATAAAAATAAATAAATTATTAAAAGATTAAATGAGATACTCAAATAAGTTGAGATAAATATAAAAATCAATTAATTAATTTATAATTTAATATAAAATGCACAAAATTACAAAAAAGTTTTTACAATTACTTTTAACTTAAACGGAATAAAAAACTGTAACAGATGCTTTAAAACTTAATTTTACAACTACATATTTTCTTTAAAAGAATCATAAAAACAGCTTATTAAAAACTAATTAATTAATTTAACTAATTAAATAATGTAAAAGCGTTCTAATTACATATTTGAATACAAAAACTATTTAATTTATTTATTTGGTTTAATAAATAAAATAAAATAAAAAACTCTATTATTTAATATGGAATTCAATTCCCTAAAACTAGAACCAAAAAGGAACGGTTCGAAAACTAAGTTTTAAATTAAATATTCGTTTTATTAAAGACATTAAAAATAATGTATTAAATACTAATTAATTAAATTTAGTATTTAATTACTAAAAATTAATACAAAAACAGTTTGAAAATCTAAAAAATTCAAACAATTAAAAAAAAAGTTTTGAAAATTAGTTTTATTTTTGTTTTTTTAAATAAGTTAAGTTTTTATTATGAAAAACTTGTAGAATATAATTTTATATTATATTTGTCAACTTTTTTTATTAAATAAAATTTCTGAAATTATGGTTAAAAGTAAGAAATTAATTCTCAATAATTTTAAATTTAATAAAAACTCACACAAAGACAGAAAAATAATTTTATGTATAAAAAATTCGTAAAAAAATTTAAAAAAAAGAAAATTTTCTACCAAAAGTTTGAATAAAAGTATTCTGATTGCATATTTGAAAACCATAAATATTAATATATATAAATTTTTAATAAACAAAAAAGTTGCTCAAATATTGCAAGTGATTTTTGGTAAAAAAAAACCAAAACTGAAAAAAAAATATTCCTTTATAATAAGGAGCATTAAGTAAACTCGAAGTGAAGAAACTAAAGACGTGTTTTTGAAAAAAAACTGAAACTATTACAAAATATACCTCTTTATAATTTGGAGCATTGAGACAAGAATTCAAAGTGCAGAAACCTTAAACGTTTTTTTTTTTTGTTTATGTGAAAGTTTTATTAAAAAGGACAACAAACTAAAAAATCAGCTGTAAGTTATATGCGAAAAATGTGAAATTGCCTTAGTTCAGCTTAAAAAAGGTGACATTTGAAAACATGATCAAAATTTATGAAATGCAAGCTATGATCTATAAATTATATACAAGACAAATAAAAAGTTTAGAGAATTACTGTTGACGAACCTAAAATATACAATTTCGGTTTCTAATGCTTAAATATACTCAATAAAATATTAAAAAATTATAAACGATCAATCAAAACCACCCTCAAATAAAGTGCACGAAATTTTCAACAAAAAATGTGAGAACGATACACAAAATGTACTCAAAACACAAACGGAGAAAATATGGTTTTAATAATTTTTATTTCTCAAGCAGCATAATTAATTAAAATTCCCGCCAAACACAAAAAAAATACAACAAATGAACAAATAATATTGTCAGCAAAAACAGTGGCGAAAAATCGAGCAAAACTGCAAATCTCGTGACTAGTTTTTGCTTTCCTTTTTCTGCCAATTTGTGCTGTGAAAAAAATATAAATATTTTGTTAAATGAAAATCGTGATGCGCCGAATGCGCGTGCGACACCAAACAAAAAACTGTTTTCTAAGCGAAATTATATTGTTGTTGTTGTAGCAAATATACAAAAATACGAAATATTATAATTAATTTGTCGGCTATGCGAGCTGCCGCTGACAGCCGTTGCAAGCGGAGCGCGCAAAAAATACAGAAAAACTGAGCAGTGCCAGCAATAAGGAACAAATAATGGAAAACACGCGCAAAACAATACAAGAATTATTTAAAAAATATATGTATATATATTTATATGCAATATGTGCGTGTGATGGTTTGTGCAAAGTGTCAAATAATAAATAAGCTGTGCTGCACGAATGGAAATAAGAACCACAGCCGTAAAAAAAAATATTTTTTATATTTTTGTGGCAACTAATCAGTGCAAACTGTGCGACTACAATAACAAAAACCAAAGACCATAAAATAATGGCATTAAGTGTTAGGCTGATAGGGCGCAACATGTTTCGGAAAGAAATCAACAGACAGCCACTAACACCACAGCAATAAAAAGTTTGTGGCTTTTGCTGGGTGAATTGTCACACAAAAAACAAAAAAAAGAACAATACAAAGTAATGGAAAAATAAGTGACTGATAAAAAGTGCTTGAAAAAAGCAACAACTGTTGTTTTAATACCACGATTTATTAAATTTGTTGAGACACTGTGTTTGTGGGTGTGTGTACAATGACAAAAAACAAATTGGCGAACAGTTCAACAACAGATAAAAATCTGCAAATAAACAGCGAACTTTTTTGAAATATTATTTGATAATTCTGTTTAGCGTTTTGAATGCCTTTTTGCGTCTGCAGATTGCAAGAAACTTCGAAATTATAGAAATTTTATGCAAAAATTATGCAATTAATACCTAAAAGACAAAATTTTGGGAAAATATGAAGAACTAAAAAATATTTTAATATGACTGAAAACAAAATTAAAAAAAAAAACTAAATAAATAAGAAAAATTAAAATAATATAAATAAAAAAATTTAATACGAATGAAAAGTAATTTAAAAAACTAAATAAATTTGAAAAATTAATGATAATAAAATTTAAAAAAAATTTAATGCGAATGAAAAGTAAATCCTTTTTTTTTGTTTTGCACAAACTTTTTTTTGCAATTTAATTATGTATATCTTAAAAAATGTATATATGTATTTTACGTGCTTTCGGTTTTAAAATAAAAAATTGTATTCTTTTTCACTTAAAAAAAATTTTTTTTTTGTTTTAAAAGACCTTTTAATCCATTAAAAATTCATTAAATAAAAATTATTGCATTACATTTAAATTAAAAATTATTAAAAATACTCAAATTAAGCCTATATTTTACCCTTTTTTATAATTTATGCTTTCAGTTTTAAAATTATAAAATTATTTTCGTTCTCACTTTGAGATAAATTAATTATTTTTTTTTATAAGTGTTTTTTACTTCATAAATTTCATAAATTTATTAAATAAATATTGCACAAAACTAATTTTATAACTATAAAATTATAACTTGAAACATTAAAATTAAAAATATCTGTATCTAAACCCATACATAAAGAAGCGAATAAAACTCTTAAACAAATTAAAATCACAAAACGCGCCGGAGAAATTATTTATTTGCTATTTGATTAACCACAGACAACAAAATTATGCTCGAATTTGTACAAAAAAAACTACAACAACAAGCCTCAAAAAATTCAATTTGTTTAAGTTTTTTTTTAATTTTATTTTTTTTTTTTTTTTTTTTTGTTTTTATTAGCTTTTATTTGATTTTTGTTTTTGATAATTTGTTTGGTGTTTTCCTTTTATTTATTTTAGTGCTTTTTGAGTATTTTCTTGGTTTGTTTTTTTTTTCAATTTTATTAAGGTGTTTCTTATGTTTAGCTTTATATTTTCTTTTATTCATTTTTTACAATGTTTTCACTTTATTTGTTTTAACGTTTTCTTTTTATTTTTGATTTTTTTTTTTTGATTTTTTTTTTTTAATTTTTAAGCGTTTTTTCTAACATTTACTGCTACAGCTTTCGAAAAACCACTTAAAACTAATTGTATTTGTTTCGCGCTGCTTTCACACAACTAAAATTATTTTATTAATTAATTATTTTTTCCAACAGTGGACAACATCAAAACGGCTTTATCAAACAAAAAACAATAAAATTGAACGACGGAAGTGAAAAAAAAATTCACTGAAAAAGTGTTACAAAAACAAGAAACAAAACAAAAAGTTACATACAAAACAGCAAAAGCAACAAGTGAAAATATATTTGAAATATAACTGAATATGAAAATATAAAAAATTCTAAAACAATATTCGTTCAAATTAGTGACTGTGAAACCCAGTTTAAAATTGCAACAACTGCACATACGATAACAAAAAAGGGCTAAAAGGTTTTTAAAAAAATAAACGTGAAAAATTCAAATGCTAAAGCAACAACTATTTTATGCTGAAAAAGTGAAACAACAACTATAAAAATTCATATTTTAATAAGCGGATTCCATTTTTGTAAACAAAATAAAAACAAACGCCAAATAAACCAATCAAAGTGCCAAATGTGTGTGTCAAAACAAAAAGCAAGCATTAACAATTCCACGGAAAATATTTTCGGAATTCCGTTTTTATAAATATACCTATAGATATATCAATATGTGCGCATAACACACTGACTTACATTCGCGTATATTGGAGATATTACTTTATTAGAACTGCATTTATATACATACAAACATACATTTTATGGATATCGCCATGCAAATAACGGATATAGTCTTTTGTGAGACGAAAATTTGAAAAAACTTTGTTATAACCTACTATATATATATTTTATATACAAAAACAGGTGAGTGAGCAATTGTAATTGAAATTAATAAAAATGTAAGAAGTTTTTTCATTGTTTTTAAAATTCCAATCAAAATCATAAATATTTCTCTATTTTCAACTTAACAAAGTTACAAATAGTGAAGTATTTTCGCTATTTTGTAGATACATTGCTGAAGATCAGTATTAAGCTAACGTTATGTCACGAAAAAATACTCTCAACGTTTGCATTGATGCGACGTTTTCTTCCGCCTTTTCCCTTGAGTCTGACAATTCTCCTTTCTCCTCGCCTTTTCGGTTGCATTTTATTACCTATAGCACCCAGTCTTACTCTAATCCTGTATTACTGCCAATTTATAGTTTACAATCTTACCAAATTTGTGAAAATTGCATTATCTATATATAACTAAGCGATTTGCTTGTACATTTCGTCGATCTTTAAGTATTCACAATCCGACGGCGGATTTCATTTCTACATATCTACATATTTGTAGGTATATATGTGTTGATCAACGCTTTTGGTGAATCTTCTAGCTATTCAATGATTGCCATGGCTCTGGTTGGATACTTTAGGCGGGAATTTCCAAATTTAGATAGTTTTAAAAATGTAGTTTAAATGTTTCTTGGTTTTTATGTTCAGTTTTTGGAAGATATAGACAATTTCTTGCTACTGATTTGGTCCATGATAATGTTCGTATATGTTTTTGGTTTGTACAGAACTCAGCTAACCTGACTATTCTTTCAACTTTTTCGTTATCACGAGATTTTTTGAAAGATATCGATTCGGTTTTTTAATCACATATATAAGAGAACACAGCGCTGATTCGATAATGTATTCAACATGTATTAAAATTCTTGATTGTTGAACTAATAAGCGGTTCACAAAAAATAAATCTGCAAGACACTTTGTCTATGTATATAAATTATATTAGATTAAAATGGAAAAATATTATATCAATAAAAGGTCACATGTTGACCGATAGATGCGGATGCGGTATAAATATAACCGGAAGCTAGAATATTTAACTTAGGTACATATATGATAGCTAAGAGAAGTGTTAACACGATTTTACCCATTTTTGGCGCAAGTTGTGTTTTCGTGGCGATAATTTTTCCAAGGTTTCTCGACTATTGGATTTGCTTTGGAAAAACTAATGCTATTTTTTGTACTTCTTAACCATATCATAAACATCTACAAATGCTTATGAACCAAAAGCATACAAAATTTATTTGAAATCAAATACTTCTGGCAATGATAAGTCAAATTTTAAATAATCTTCAATTAATTTGCTAGTTAAGACATCACTAAATCTTTCGCTATAATTTTGCTCACAACAAAAACATTTGAGATCAGACAATAAATTATACGCTTGCAAGGCAATAAACCCATTCAGCCACCTAAATACGCCTGAATCAGGCATATTCATCAAAAGCGTGTATGAATGAGAAGCGTGAGCGATTAAATATGTGTGTAAAATTAAATTTCTACGAAAGGATATGGATAAGGAAAGTGAGCTGAGAATGAAATGCATACAAACTTACACAAATACATATTATATTTAGTGTACAACGAACTGTAAGCGCTTGATGGATTGCTGCACACAAATATATTCTTTATATATATGTATTGTGGGTATATAAATATAACGTGTGACAGGCACTTCCTAGATGCCAACAACAGCCATAAATAAGAAAATAGCAATAATGTGACAAAGTGTAGGACAAATTGCAATTAAAAAGTGCAATGAGTGAAAACAATGACCGCAAAAGGTTGCCTCAGCCAACTGACGGAAAAAGTGACAAACTGTCCTGTCGAGCACTTTTTTAATTGTAAAGTAATGAAAGTTCAGAGAATAAGGTGTAAAGCGCACATACAAATATGAAGAAAACGTAAAAATAGCGCGAAAAGCTGACATCCATACATACTTACTTGTTTATATGCGCTCGCACGCTTTGTACCTTCCTGAGTGAAGAAAGTCAATCATCCCAACAAGGCTCAGCAACCACTTAAACCCTGCAACGAGCAACCTTGCAAACGCTCAAGAACATGTGGCGAAAATTAATTACACTGTCACATCAATCAGAGAATATTATGAGCTCTAAAGGAAGAAAAGCATGTAATTTCAAAAACATGTGAGAAATAATAAATGAATTGAAATAATAATAAAAAATAAAATAAGTAAAAAAAATAAATTTTCAACATCATCTGATATAATAAATGAATTGAAATAAAGTTAAAAATAAAATTCGATGAATTTGA